TCAATAAAGCATGAATGAATAAAATAAATAAATAAATATTTTGCAAAAGACTTTGATGTATTAATATTTATCTATTTATTGACATCATTTATTTATTGACACTCTTGTTTAAAATATTTGAAATGTGGATAATGTATGAAACGTGTCAATTCATAACTTTTAAATTAAATTTTTGTATTGGACTATGATAGATTTATTAACATTTATTTATTTATTTACTTGTTTGATTATTTATATATAGTCTAAATAAAGCAGGAAATGTGTCAATAAATAAATAAATTACTTTCAAATGACATTTTTGCTTTGGACTTTGACAAATTTATTGACATTTTTTTGATTTATTTATTGACATGTACATTCTAATTGACACTCTTTTTTAAAAGATTTAAAAAAGATGTATTTATATGCCACTCCCTATCCTCCACAAAAATGCACCTCCTTGCATTTGAAAACATTTCCAATTATGATGCATAACCTACAGTTATTTTACAAAAAATGCGACGTAGTCCAAGTTTCCGGTTACCGCTGACGCGCTACAGCTGAGAGACCTTCCTGGGTGTGGGCCGGTGACGGGGTTCTGAATTAATGCGCTGCACGCGGTTCAGTTGGTGTTTGGCGGTCAGGCTGGGGTTGTCAGTACTGGGTGGCACTGACAGACTGTGAGGCAGTGGCATCGCTCGCCGGGGATTGTTCCTTTCGTAGACGCTGTAGGGCGGAGGAGTCTTGCTACCCCGGCGAATGGGCACGTCTGCGGGGACGGCGGGGGGTAGAGGAGGGTCGGGCGGCGGGAGGTCGATCCCGCACGTTTCAGAGACACTGCAGCGGCTGAGGGATGAGATCCCGCTGCTGTAGCTGCCAGAGCGGGCAGGAGAGTGAGATGCCAGGCTCCCCATCGGCAAGCTATCGGTCGGAGAGGGCGTGAGGGGCGGGACCATTGACTGCAGAGCAAAACAAAGGACAAACTTCATTAAGAAACACCAGCTATTAACAGAGATTGAATTAAGCATAAACTAGTCACCTTCTGAGGGGAACGGGCGGTTGGCATGGGAGACAGTGACCTCACGTTCTTGCACAGAGATCCTACTCAACACACACACACACAGAGCAACAAAAGGACGTGTCACTGAGCTGTACATAACCGACTCAAGTGTAACGGCTGTTATCTGACAGCAGAAAGCTGCGGTACCTGTCTCAGGTGTGGGGAGATTGGGTTCACAGCGTGGTAATGCGGAATCCACTGGGATTTGGAACGGAATCATTCTCTATAAAAGATATAAAAGACGGAAGTCTCAGTGAATCTGTACTGTGGACGTTTACTGAACACTGTGAGATACACATTTATTTTATTAATCATTGTTACAGATTCATCAGTGCAAGAATTGTTTTTATTTAATTTATGGCGAATACTTAATATTTATAGTTTAAATTATGTATACTATTTACATACAGTAAATTATACATAATATATGACAATGAACATTTATATAATTTTTTACATTATGTAATGCATGTAGTAATTATTAATATTTTCAATATTTATTTCTGCTGCTGTAATGTGAGCAGGAAAAACAATACTTTTAATACATTATATTTAATAATATTTATAAAAAATTATATATACCACCGTATACCAAATGTTTGGGGTTAGCACAATTTTTTTTAAATAAAGAAATTACTATTATACAGCAATTATGTTAATATGGTGACGTTAATGATGTTAAATTGATGAGAAGTGACAAAGATTTCTATTTCAAATAAATGGTATTCTTTTGAATTTTCTATTCATCAAAGAATCCTGGAAAAAAAAGTATCACAGTTTCCACAAAAATATTAAGTAGCATCTGTTTTCCATGCTGATAATAATAATAAAGCAGCATATTAGAATGATTTCTGAAGGATCATGTGACACTGAAGACTGGAGTAATGATACTGAAAATTCAGCTTTGCATTACAGGAATAAATGACATTTTAGAATATTTTCAACATTTTAATTGTAATAATATTTCAAGATATTACAGTTTTTCTGTATTTTTGATCAAATAAAAGCAGCCTTGGTGAGCGTAAAAAAAGTCTTCTTTCTATAACATAAAACATTTATTGACTTCAAAACTTTTGAATGGTGGTACATATACAACGTATTAAAAATAAATAAATAAATAAATAA